CATTTGTGGTGTAGCTCTTGCAACGCTTGGGTTTTTAGGGGTTCTAGGCATGGGAGTTCAGGGCGAACCCTAAATCCTAAACCCTACCCTAAACCCTAAATCAGGGTCCTAAACCCTAAACCCCAAATCAGGCTTGCAGGGTTCAGGGCTTGCAAAGGTTTTTCGGGCTCAGGGCTTGTAGGTTTTCTGCCTGCAGCTTTTCGAAAGCAAGTCTCCGCGCAAAAACCTTGTTGAAACCTTCAGAATCCGCTGCACGTTCTACAGCCATGTTTTTATGATTATGATTGTGATTATTGTCATTATCATTATCATTATTATTATTAGTAGTAGTATGATTCTGCACATTTATTATTATTATTATTATGATGATTATGCCTTACTGAACCCCTACAGAGCCATTGCATCACAAGCTCTTGACCGGGCCTTGGGCTCTAATCTAAAACCTCGACCCTAAGCCGTCATCCCAAATCCCTGAACCCCAAACTCCAAACCAAAAGCACGTTTTTCTAATACATACATATATGTACATATGTATACATTATACATATATATATATATATGTATATGTATATGTATACTTGGTTCTTCATGTACACAGTATGGTACTCGTGGGTAATACGCTCAACCCTAAACCCCGGTGCAGGGACATCTACAAAACCAAGAAGCGCTTTTGGCTCTCGAATGTGGCTGCAGATGCGCCCTGAAAGATAGCAGACTGCGGGTTCGAGGTCCAGGGTTTGGGGTTTGCTTTCAGCATGCTCCATCAGTAACAACAGTTGGAAAGATGTGCGACCCAGCTGCACACTGCCCTGCCTAATTACAAGTCTGGGATTTTTCACATTAGTATTATCTTATCACTGCTATCCTTACGTAAGGGCAGGGGTTCTTTGGGCACTTGCTCTGGCAAAAGGCGTCGCACTATGATTTTACAGGCCTCATGGTCAGGCGGCGCGTCAGTGCAACAGCTTCAACCCTGAACCTGAAATCGTAAAAGAAGGCGTAATCTGCTGAACTGGGAACAGGGCACAGCCATCAGGCCACTTCAGTGAAAAGTCCTTTCCTCGAACCCTAGTTTCTTGAACCCTCGACCCTAAACCCCACGAACATCTAATTAATCCATATCCTCGAAGCCACAACTGGGTACAAGAACTGAAGCCAGGAAGGACTGCGCTTGATGGCATAAATCCTGCATTACTCATAAGGAATAGACCGTACATAGTTCAAACAGTTTAGAACTCGTACAGTAATGCGGGATTTTGACCATCAACGGTATTGCGTGAGTTCCGTGCCCTTCGGATGACGAATGTTCCTTTGAGTTATAAAGAGATCCGCGACATGATTGGCGTCAACTCGGGGTTACTGGGTTCTCTCACGCTGCACCCCTGAACCCATTGAAGCGCCGTTTTGAAAGAACCTGTCCAAACCCTAGTTTTTTGAACATGCCTTCTGAGCTCCGAAGAAACGACCCCTACACCTTAAACTCTCAAAGCTAAACCTCAGGTCTTGATGTCTTTTGCTTTCGACCACCTGCCCTGCCACTCCCTAGAGTGGTGTCCTGAACGCTTCCTTTGAATGTGGGTTGCTTCAGAGTCCGGCCATGGAAACAAAAAGACACCCACCACAACGCCAATCCCAAACCAGGTCGGCCCTTCAAGCCCCAAAGACCAAGAAATCCGAAACATTCAAACCCTGAAAGTCCCAAAAACTAACCTTGTGCAACCTTTTCCACCCTAAGTGCATCAATTCCACCAGGCACCACTCGAAATCCGTGAAGAAGTTCAACACTACAAAGCAAACCACGATACACAGACAAACAATGCCCCAGACGGAGGACACCGGAGCTTAACCCTAAACCAGGAACCTATGACCCAAACAAAGCCTATGTCCTAAACTTAAACTTCCTTCGCCTTCAACTACAAGCCATAAAGAAAATGGGTTCTTGTTAAGCTTCTTAGCTTAAGTTACCAGAATAAACCCTACTACCCAAAACCCTCAACCCTAAAGCCTAAACCCTAAACTCTAGGCCATCAACAGCCCGAACGCAAGTCCTCGCCAAACCTTGAAACCTAGACTCTCAAATCCTAAGCTCTCAAACCCTAAACCGAGGTCCTCGCCGGCGTCTGCCTCGCTGCCTGCGCCTTGGTGGAGGCGCTGATGTGGCGCCAGGCCGCAGCTCGGCGGACACGGAGAGTCGTTAAGGGTTCTGGGTTTAGGGTTTTAGGTTTGGGGTTTTCGGTTTTAGGTTTTGGGGTTTAGGTTTTGGGGTTTCGGGTGTTGGGTTTTGGGTTTAGGTGCTTTTTTAGTCGGTTTGGCAGCGTTCTCTTGGGCCTCAGGCTCCATTTGTTTGCTACACTAGCTTTTAGATTAAAGGAGTGTGCTGCTTTTGCGGGGCATTCAGTGGTTCGTTCAGGGAGTTGAAAAGGGGGTTTGGGCTTCTCTTAAGGAGTCGAGGGTTCTCTTTTCCGGAGCTTACGCGAAGGTGCTGGCGGCCTGTGGCCCCGAAGCCAAAGCCGTTTGCCTAGGGTTTTTTCGGTAGCGGCCTTGGCCCACCCTTACAGCGCCCTCGCTGCAGTATCGCGCAAAGAAGAGGAGGAAGACGATAAAGGTGATGATGCTGGTCGTGACAAGGATTCGACTGTTTGCGTTTGCACATTAGGACCCATCATTTCCTGGAACTTCCGCAAAACTCCCAAGATAAAGAGAACGGAAACCTATGCCAATTATTCTAGAGCCCCGTTAGAAAAGCCCTTTCAACACCCAATGAAACCTTCAGCAGAAGCAGAAAAATGTCCCAAGCCAAACCAAGATCAAGAACCAGATGCTGAAGCCGTTCATCTTGAACGTCTATCGGCTCTCTAATCTACTGAGCCCCTTGGCTGAGAGAATGTCGAAAGTAGGGGTGCCTAACTTTTTCTGGTTTAGGATTCAGGGTTGAGGGCAGAGGATCCTGCTGCGTGGGGTTCTAGGAACCTTGCAAAACAACAGAGATGCCTTAATAGGGTGTTGGGGTATACTGTACTGCAAGTATATTAGGAAGCCTAAGCCAGAACATTCGCAGTTATAAAGGCTTCTACATTGATCTTGCCAACTGTTGAGGCTTCTCTTTTCATCCCCGGATCCGCTTCATGTGATCCCGATGCATCCTCCCAGGAGTTTTTTGTGTGAGTTTGGGCTTTCGGTTGAGGAACCCCAAAAAGACTGTACAATATTGAATGAGGAGTGATATGTATAGTTTTGAAGGTTCCTTAAAATCAATTTCTTACGAGGTCATAGCCCAAAAGCCTATTCGAACTATTCAGGCCCACTGTACTAGCTGAGCAAGAGGGCTTCGAGGTTCACATTCTCGATTGCACTTTTTCTTGTCGTACAGAAGCCCGAACTAGCAGTAATATTATGGTTCAGGGTTCTTAATAAAGCTACTGAACTATACTATGCCCAAAACCAACACCTTAAACCCTAAACGCCACACCGTCTGAGCCGACCCTCCAAAGAGCTTCAGTTCCGTTCTGGGAGGATGGGGGTTGTTTGTTTCTGATGGTTTGGGACTTCGTGTTCATGGTTTAGGGGTAGGATTTAGGGTTTAGTGCCGTTCAATGCTTAGGGTTTAGTCTAGTGTTTTGGGTTTAGGGTTTGCCGTAGGGTTGTTCGTTGAGGTCTTCAAGGATCACAACCTAACCCGTCAATGCCCCTCGCCTCTGAAATGTCCTTCAGATTCCAATCCAAAGCCGCAACACATCCCTTATTATCATTGTTAGTAGTAGTGTTATTAGTGTGATTGTTATTGTTGCTGTTGTTGTTTGTACTCGTGTATCTATTGATTTACCTATCCATCTCTTCGTTTAGTTTACCGTAGTTGTATTTTCCATAAAAAGAGAACATTATAAGCCATAAATACTATATATTGTATTTCTTGTATATAACTTAAGATTTTCAAGTGCCCGCAATCGAAAGCTACCTGCCGAAGCGACGACTTTCCGTAAATGCCAGCTGGATCAAGATTTTAGGAGTTATGGTTCTGCTTCCGCCTCAACCTTACGTAGCTTGCGGTCCCGACTTCCTTGTCCGTCCTAATCCCAATCTCCTGTCAGCCATCGTGGGTGGTGTGCTCTACCTCGCCTACTACGGCGGTCTCAGCAATCCCTGCGATGTTTTGCCTTCGGAGGGTTTTGGGGAAGGAGGGCTGCTCGTTTCAGAAGGACATAGTCCAATTGGGAGCCAGAGGGAATCACAAACTCGCTTGCTTAATTTATGGGTTCTATCTTTCAACTCTGCAGAGCTGTATGCTACAACCTTAGAAGAAGACGAGGGGTTTGGGCCGAGAGCTGGAAACCCGGAACCCTAACCCTACCGTTTCCATCTTAGCCTGAGCCCGAAACCCAGGGTCTTGGGGTTTGGTGTCGGACTTCGAGCCGAACATCCGGAATCCACCGCAGCTCGCAATGCAGAGCCCGCCAAAGGATGGCATTGGGTTCACTGCGTCACCCTCTGATGAGGCTTCATAAGCAGCCCCGAAGAGGCACCGCCTTGAAAATGCCAAGGCCATCCGCTGAGCTCGCGAACCCAATCCAAACTTACGAGACATCGGGAAACGGTTCCCAAACCCTTAGACTTGGTAGCGGGTCCAAACTTAGTGTTTGAGTAGGTAGCCCTGATTTTTATAGGCATACCTTTACAATGTTGCACGGAACTCAGCAACTAGGCTAAAGGATCGGTGTGTGCGTGTGTGCGTACACACATACTATGTATGTATGTACATATACATATACCTACATATATATATATATGTTAACGAGAGTTAGCAAATATGCACAACGCATTTTTTACACACGTATATGTATACACATACATATACACATATGTAGATACATTGTACATGTGTGGGCGTTGGTGAGGCACTGTGAAATAGAGACTGGTCTCTTGCCGTGAACCCAAAAGGCCAAGCCCTAAACCCGTGAACAGTCGCAGAACGAGGCGGCTCGGTGGCTCAGATTCACGTGAGGATGACGGACTATGCCGACAGTAAGGCTCCGGCTTTTTTTCTTCTCTGTACATGCATACATGCATGCATAATGTAGGGGCCTTAATAAGTAGAATAGGGTTTCGGGGCCCTTTGTACTATAATTATAATAAGGAACCCCAACCATAATAGTCGTAATTATTTAGGCTTCTACATTACGTACATATGCAGACAAGTATGCAAGCACTTAAACAAATACGGATGTATGTGTATATACATGCATAAACGAGTTGGCAGTTAAATAAACAAGCACAGAAAAACCAACTAACTAAGCAACTAACTAGCTGCCTAACGAACGAAGTAACTAGCTGAGTGACTGGATAATGTAATAGCAAACTACCTAGCTTCCAGCTAACTTACTACCTGACTCACTACCTGACTTTCTACCTAAGTAACAAAATAGTGCAACTGTACAAGCAGCAGTCGGCCTTGTGTGCATGTGAAGCATCCTAAACCCTAAACCCCAAACCGCTAATTCGGTATGTAAATTCGTACAATCTTGGCTCACGTGCGCACGGCTCGGCCCGAAAGGCCATTGCTGCGTTCACAATAAAAGAACTTAACTCACCAACTAACTACTTAACTAACCCACAAAACAAAACAGCACATGAGCCACTAAATGAACTAATACATAGATGTGTGACTGAGGAAGTAAGTAAATACATCGCAAGAAGACAGTTAGCTAAATCCGTTCCATGCATACACATACAAACAAAATATACTACAGGTAATGTGTTTTGTCTTCAGAGTGTGTGTTCGGAGTGACGTCCTGGAGACGTCGTAGCGGGGATTTGCAGTTGGGGCTGCTAGAGTTCTGTAAGCCCCATCTGCAAGCCCAGGGACCTAGCAGCCTCAAGTTATCATTGCATCTATGCTGCCTGAGTCGCCACGGCATGGAATCGATGGGCCATTCTGGCACCCGAAACCCTAAACTGATTATCTTCGGCTGGTTGGTTGCACTTCTGTGTCTGAAATCGGGCCTTGGTGGGGAGTGTGAGATGCACGCGCACGGGCACAAACAGTAAAGCGACGGGGGGAGCATGGCGCGCTTAGATCCTAGGGAGTTCGCCGCTTTCGAAGGGCAACCCTCATCCTTGTAGCAATTCGATGTGCAAGCAAAAGCTCTTTCAATTGACGGATTCTTCGTTCGACAACCTTATATATATATATATATACTTGCATGTCAGTTTGACTCTGAGTTCTATCCAACTCCCAACCACAAAATCCTAAACCCCAAAGTTTTCATCCCTGAATTGAAACCATTAAAACTACAACACTGAAACCGAAAAAACACGATCCTGGAACATCACCGTCAACCGTCCATGCCAAACCCCAAACCCCCAACAACCGAAAACCTTACACTCCTCAAACCCGAACCTTAGCCCCTAAAACAGCTCCAGGCCCTTCGGTTTTTACGACCCGCCTAACTTATGTTGTCACACCCGTAGAAAACTTTTTGTCCTGCTCTGTACAACCACCCCTCCCAGTGGAGCCCAAAACCCCTCTGAGAGGCCTTTCTAGAGCCCTATCTAGAAAACCTTCGAGCCTTAAACCCCAAACTGCCATAGTAGCCATGTGCCCTGAACCCTAAAATGCGGCCCGAAGACCTTCGCCTCCCGGGCGCCGGGCGCCAGCAGCGGCCCGTGGCAGGCCGTTGTGTGCGGTGCTTCAGGGGGTTCAGAGGGGTTTAAGGGTTTTGGGGTTTTGGGTTTTGGGGTTCAGGGTCAAGGATTCAGGGTTTAGGATTCAGGGTTTTCAGGGTGTAGGGTTTAGGGTAAAGGTTCGAAGATGGATTGTGCTTGTAAAGATAGGCAAATCAGCATCGGTCTGAAGATGTGTAGCTTAACGATGTAGCTGCGCGGTGGAAAGCAAAACGCAGAATCAGAGTTCAGGGTTTCGGGTTTGAGGTTTCTTGTATCGAGTGGTAAGTTCGGTTTTTGAAAGATATTATACGCGTTTTTGCAATGTCTGTCAGGGTTTTACAAGATGTTATGTGGTTTTGCTGGTTAGAGTACGTCTAGCAACAGTCTCAGGTCGGCAGCCGCTAGCTGACATGTCCATGCAGCGATGCTTCTACGGGTTGCGCCGCAGAACAAGACATGCCGATATGTGGATGCTGTATACTGCAAGCAGGACCTCGGGAAGCAAGAGCAGTATAGCCAGGCCCAAGAAATTCCGCAGCCGCAGCCTGTGGGGCTCCTTAACCTTGAAGGCCTTAAGCTTCAAACTGCACCCCAACACCTCGTCCGGAGGCGTTTCGTTGGAAGGCAAGCTGTGCTACGATTAATGGACACAGATCCTGCATCATCCAGAGCCAAGAACCGAGCATGGTTCCCCTTGCCTAAGGGTAATTACGAAAGGTCAGGCAGGATGTTCTGCATCGCCGTACCCTGTCGCCCTTCAAGATTTCGCATCACGGACTTGTCATGTGGATCCTCGAGCCTCGGGATCTACACTATTCAGGCCCTCTACTTCGGGATCCTGTGTTTCCTTCCCTGACGGGTGAGGCACGGTTTCGCATCCTGGGGGAAGTCCATGCCTTGGTGCAAGACACCGCGACATGGAGCCTCGCCTGAGGTTTCGGGCTTCGGGTTAACTGGTCGTGATGTTATCTTCGGGGATTCCGTTAAGGGTTCCTTTTAGGGTTCGTTAGGGGTTCTCTTACAGTTCAGGAGTGGAAGAAGCCCGAATAGGATTCTTGACATAGTTCTACTAAGTCTAGTACATCCCGATCCCTATTCCAACTATTTAGGCCCTTATCTTGGGGCGTCGGATTTGAGATCTTCGGGTCTGGAGCTTTTCAGGTTTAAAGCTCGGTGAATATGGATGATAGGGTTTAGTTGCAAACATTGCGGCAGCTTAAGGATCAGGGCAATGTGCGCTGCAGCCCCTGCTCAAAAAAAGGGTTTAGTGGTGCGGATTGAGCTGAATCAGACAGAGTTACATACAAGTACTCGCCGTTTACTCATGCTGCGACCAGCTGTGTGTGTGTGTGTAGTACAGAAGCCTCAGTAATTATCGACATTATTCCAAAGGGCTCCTTCGGATCTTTGTTTATCATAAAAACCGTTAACTTGAAACCTGAACCCCCTACACCAAATCCCTGGTCTAAGTGTTTGTCTCCTAAGAATATGTGTGCCCAGCCGCTGATGTCAGACTCGTTCCTGCAGTTGAAGGTTCACATGTCGCGATCCTTGCACTGCACTTTTCGTAAAGATTACGAAGCCTGAAGCCCTAAACCCTAAAACCTTTATTTGGTGTGTGGAGTGGTACCTACCCCTTCTTGGGCTGCTGGTCTTGGGATCCCTCGGTTCTCTGCTGGGGATCCCGCGGTTCTATACTGGGGATGCCATCGGAGAGAACAAGAACCGTGCAGCCTTCAGGATTACGGGTGTTGCATTTCGGGTTGTGAGGTGGGATACATATGTTCTAATGCACTTTTACCGGACGGTACACCTTGATGACTTGATGCCCTAAAGCAACTCTCCAGTCTTAACAAAACCAGCAGCCTAACCCCAACAGATGCAAAACCGTGTCGAGAAGTCGAAGCCCCCAACCCTAAAACCCAAAACCCTGATTCCTCAGGTCCACCCTAATGCCTCAACTTCAGGTACCGTGGGGCACAGTGGATTTGCTTTTGGTACATGCTCATCCTCCTAGTCAAGTTCGGCGAAGGCGTCTCGGCTCTTGGCGCACGGTCAGGGTTTAGCGTTTAGGGTTGCCGAACCCATTGAACCGATAACTGCCACCCTGCAAGAGCTTTCTGTACCCGGTTCCGCACGGACTCAAACACTCTAAAACCCCCTAACCCCTGAACCCTGCTGTCGTTTCTTCCTGAGGATCACGGAGAGCGCTTCAGTCCAAAATATTAGCCCGACCCTAAGCGCTCAACCCGTGACCCTGCTAGCCTGAAACCTCGGCCGCAAATCCTCAACGACGCTTGAAGTCAGGCCTTCCTGTTTCACCTCAGCTGATGATCTTTGTGAACACTCTGTCCGATGCGGCGGCTTTGTCGGCACCTTGAGGGTTGTCGTGGTTGAACACCACATGCACATGTACGCAGAGACGCATGAACTATTTCAGGTCAAGAAACACACACACACACACACACACACACCCACATGTGTGTAGACATATGCACATAGCCAAGATGCGCATACACTCACATGTGTACTTACATGTGTACTTACATGTGTACATATACATGTATATATATATATATATATATATGCATATATGTATACTGTATATGTATATGCACATGTACATGTACATGTACATGCATATGTGTATGTGTACCTGGATGGCTCGACATATGCATGCACATATGTATGTCGTTATGTGTGCAGGTATGTAAGTATGGACATGCGGAGGTGCAAACACTCATGCATGCCTTGGATAGACAAGAGCAATCAAAAAGAGGTATGCTCGAGAGTGAATGCATAAGGATACACTTTTGTTGCTACCATAGCTGGATAGGTGCACGCCAGCAGACACTTCTGGTTGCAAGCGGCCCGAGTGTAGCAGTCCCCATGACTGCTTGGGTGACAACCGGAAGCAATGAAAGCCCCCCGCCCCCCACAGCGTTGTTTGAGGGTAAACCCTAAACTTTATTTGAGAATGGTGAGGTCGGCCGGGGCGGGTTTACAAGCAACGTGAGCGCGCGGCTCAGGGCGCTCCGCGCCCGAGCGCGCAAACGTATCGCAAACTCTAGACCCTAAACCCAGCACCGTTTTGGGTTTGGGGCTGGCGCAGGATTGATTCCTCTTGCATTTGCAGAATCTGGGCTTCATGTTTGGAGAGCCTTCTCCCTGGTGACTGTATGCTTGTTTTTCGCAGTTCTTGAGGATTCCACAATGCCGTGACCCCTCAGAATCATGGAACCTAATTACGAAGGCAAGCCAACAGTGTAGATCCTTCTTTAGAGCCCGAACCTACATTAAGCTTCCTAAGGTCTTGAACCGTATTCGAAGCCTTAACCAGGTGGGCAGTATCTTCTATTTCTTCATCGTCTTCTTTGTCGTGCCCCTCGGCTAGGGTTAAATCCTAAGCCCTAAACACCAAGTCACCAATTCGAGTTTAGGGTTCTTTGCTGCGAATTAAGTCCCCGTTGAAGAGTGCGAGTCGCACAGCGTCATGAAGGCGAGCCCTCGTGAAAGACAGGGTTTGAAACAAACTGATTCCCAAAGGGCTCTGTATGTGTGCTATACTGGAGTTTCCGAAAATTAGGGATACTTGCTTTGGGGTCCTTATAATAGTGATCCACTACTTAAGGTACTAAATTAGGGTCCCCCGTTTTCGGAAGCCTCCATAAGCATTCTAAACATACTAACATGGATGAGCCATAGACCCGCTGGGCTTGAGGATTCCATGTCCCAGGCTTTTTACTGCCTCCTGTATTCTCGTCTACGACGGAGTAGATTCTCCGTGTTGAGCCAACACCCATTTACGTAAAGCCCCAAAACCCTGTAACTCTTCAAGGTCCATAACCTTTCCGGAGCCAGCTTTCGATTGCAATGGGTTCATGCTGAAACAGAGCACAGAGCTCAGAAAGCGCACATTGCCGAAGATTGCAGAAGCAAGCAGCGCTGACAAACCTACGGAGCAGGGTTTAGGGTTGTACTGTCTCTCGTTTAGTAAGGCGTTTTGCCGATTTGGCGTGTCCGGGGGGGCTCCACACCGGCTAAATCCTAGACCCCACCAGAAAACGTAGACACTTTGCAGGTGCTGCGCGAGCTTTGCAATCAATCCCTGCAAAAGTAAAAACACCACCAAATACTATAGAACCCTACTTTAAACATTCCGATTTCCAGCATCGAGCTCCCAAAAGGGAGATTTGGAAAATCCAGGGGGCCTTATGTAGAACCGGTGGTAGCGCACCGATGAAAACGGATGCCTAATCAGGGTAAGTTCAGGTTTGCCAACTTCGCGATGGGTGCCCACTTCCTCTTCGGCCACATCCTCTACTCTTGGTCAACCACGTTCCTGCCTTTCGCATCCTCGATGAGGCCGCCTGAGGGGTCTGGTATTCGGGGTCGTTTTTTGGGGTTACCGGTGGAGGGTTTCGGTTTGGTGGGTTTGGGGTTTCGGGTAATTGCCGAGGTTTCTTGGAATTAGGGGTTTCTTGTTCAGCGTCATCAGCCCAAGGATGCTGGCAGAGACGTGCTATGTTTCAGGCGGGTTTTGATCGTTTTGGAGGAATGTAGGGGGCTTTTGGGTGTTCGGTTTTAGGGTAACAGGAAGGATGCGGCTAGAGGGTTTGAGATGAGGGTTCGTGGGTTGCTACTTAGAGGGCCATGGGACTTAGTAACGAGGGGTATAAATAAGTTATCTGGTAACGACAGTTAGAGTTACCTGTAACCCCAAGTACGGCACTTACAACCTTACTTACCAGGTCCCGTGATCCTCCCCTTGTAGAACCCTTATGGAAACCCTATAAATCCCTTATAGATCTCTTATAGTTCCATTTGAGGAGACCTTACTTACTAAGTCGCATGGTCCTCCAAGCAGGCGTCTAGTCCCAAGCTCGGGGCTAACCCTGTCAGCATTGAGCCCTCAGTCCAAGATCACGCCGAAACCCTCGGCCGAAAGGCTCAGGGGTTATTTGGGAGTTTTCGAAAGTGAGGGGTACCGTATTTTGGGGTATATTAGGGTGTTTACTGTAGGCTCGGACATTCAGGCGATTGCACAAGTCCTGATGCAAAAAGGGTTTAGGGCCCCTGTTTTCAGAAACTCACATTTGTGGTTTCCATAATTGGGGAGTCCCCTTTTGAGGGGTCCTTTAGGAGGGGGAGTCTATGATTTTGGGGTCTACATTGGGCCCCCCTAATTTTGGAAACTCCCATTTCTGCCAGTCTCAGGGGTAGGAGCGGACACTCCAAACCAAAGTGGAAGCAAGCCCTCGAGTCTGGGTAGAAGCTGCTTTCGAGACGCTTATTACAGTTGAACCTGTGAGGCAATGAGGGGGTGTTGTTGTGGACTCATCAAAACCGTAGGCACGAAAACCAACCCCCTGCGCCTTCACACCCCCAAAGCAAAATTGCTTGGGTTCCTGGTTACGCTATTTTTTCGTTTCTCCCTTGAAAACAGCCAGGCTGTTGGGGTAAGAGGCCCCGAATGCCAAGAGCGGGACCGTTCAGGCGGTATGATCCCTAAAAAGTGGCGGTGGCTAAACCCCGAAATGACATTCAGGGCCTCCAAGGTTCTGGTTTCGAGCTTCAGGCTCGCATCTCAGTCATGAGTACTGTCTTGTGGGTCAAGCTGGGCAGTAAGGGCAGCAGCAGAGTCCCTTGTGAAAAAGGGTTTAGGGTTTCATGGTGTAGGGTTTCAGGGTTTAGGGTTTCATGGTTTAGGGTTTAGGGTGACGTTTCCAAGCTTCAGAGCTTAGCGCGTTCACGCGGTGCACTGGCATCCGGAACTCGAAGCTTCTACCCCTAAACCCTTTAGGGTTTTGGGTTTTGGGGGTTTAGGGTGTAGGGATAAACCCTACCTCGGACACTTATTGCCATGCCTGCTTTGCGAGTGTGTGAGTCGAAAGCCTGCAGGGTCTTAATGGGAGACTTCGACTTCATGGGGATGTACGACATTGCGCCTGCGTCCTGGCTTCAACTTGGGGGTTTGACACTCGAGCTTCGGAGCATTTTGTTGCTTAACATAGAGAATCCTACAGTAACTGGTAACACTCTAATCGTGAGGGTTTCCTGATTGCCCCTTTTTGATTAAGCTATGATGTTCCAAGTATGAAGGCCGCTATATCAAGCCCCATGAAGGCTGTAGAGAACCTTGTATAACCTTGTTAGGATCCGTCTTCCACTTATCAAGGGCGCCTCTCTCAAGCGTCATAGCAACACGGACTCTCCGCGTAGTTCTTGGAGCACCCGAAACCCTAAGCCGTACTTGCCGAAACTCCCCCAAAAAAAAGGATCTACAGGCAGGAGGCCCTCAAAGAACCTTTGAGAACCCTTGTAGTAACCCTTTGAATCCAATAGGGACTTTAGACTCCCTGATTTCTATTTTGTTAGCCTCACCCCTTGCATTCGCCTGTGCTTGAGTTGTGCATCTCACTTCTCAGCGCAAAGAGCACTTAAGTCCTTGACCCTGACCTCTAAAGAAGGCATTTCATGGTTTTGTGCACTCCCTTGGCGAGTTGAGGCAGAGCTCACAAACTGGGGGAATGACCCCTTGCGCACCTAAGAGGTGTTTAGCCTCATTTGGGGGTCCTCACTAGAAGGTTCACACTATTTAGGGCCCTTGTCAGGGCCCCTTGCAATGTTGGAAGCTGCACATCCCTGAAGCGCCTTGATGATTAGGGTTTACTGTTCCGCTGCCGGCATACACTCCAAGTCCGTGCTTAAAAAGGGGTAAACAAAAGGTTTCGAGCTGAAGAATTTTGCTTCACCAAGAGATTTGGAGTTTCTGACGAAGGTAAGGTACAGGTGTCCCTGCTCAGATTTCTTCAACACTTTGACATGGACTTGCGTGGCAGAGCAAGCCGACTGACTAAGAAGAGGTCAGTTCTGATCAACCCTCTTGCAAGGATACCTGGAGTGTTAACTTCGTGGTCTAGCGTTACTGTCTTAGTTAGGGCTTAGGGCGTTTGGGGTTTGCTGCATGCTGCGGGTACTTCGCCCTAAACCTTAAGCCCTCAATCCGGAAATCTTCTAGGTGAGTTCCGTCTCATGGTTCATGCTCTTCACGGTCATGGTGGTTTTTGTGCCTCGGATGCCGCGAATTCACACTGCTTGTGTGCAGTTCGGGATGATGCGTTCTGTCCCCTCATGGTCATTTACTGCAGAGGTATCTAATAAGAGATAGGTAGTAAGTTCAAGGGCTTCATCGTACAACGCCACGGTCTGCTCTACAAGGGTCATGCCGACTCAAGAATCTCTTGAAACTCTTTTAGGGCCTGACGGTACGGGCCGCCCGCCACTGCCACAACTGCTAGGGCCACCGTGCCTCACCACAGCCCGTGCTTGCGAGTCATCCTTCACGGTGCTCTGGCGGGCCCCCTGTAAAATCTAGTTGTGGCCTTCGTTTACTTGAATATAGTTTAATGAGCATCGTTTAAAAATCAGATGAATAAAGACTAACCTGAATGTACCCAACATACTACAAACCATAATCAGGATCCACCTTGGAACAACAACCTCTCCACTAGGATTGAGCGAATGTGCTGTGTTCTTGTTGACGTAGAGGATCGCATGCTGCAACCAGCTTAGCAGCACAAATAAGTGTCTGTTTCATCCGAAGTATTTGTCATTTGCATGTTTATGTATTCCTTGGGCTTCCTAACACCAGCCCCTACTTTTTAAACGATCATGGGACTTAGTAACTACGTTTGTAAATGTGGTAACTAAAGTCATAAGTACTTGTAATCCCAGTGAGGGTACTTACCAAGTCCCATGATGCTCCGAGTATGTTAAGTGACTCACCCACTCAAGAGACTATAAGAATATGGAGGGACATGAACAGCGAAAGCTATACAGGTCCGTCGGTTGGTTTGGATAATATGAGGGCCTCAATGGTTCGACCAGGCTTGTCATGTCTGTTCTAGTATTTTTCAGTTTCTGAAACCCACCGAATCATGTTACGGTCAGCTCATGCTTCTGTCTTTCGTTGCTTTCGCACTACCTCTGCAGAACTTCTTTGCTCAATGCCGAAAGCTCGTGCGTTGCTTGGGAGGGAAGGTGCGAAGACATGTCGGGGCGTTCGGGCTGGGTGCGGAGCAATATCATCCAGTCGGACATGGAATTATTCTGATATGTTTTTGCATTGAAAACAACCCTACACTGATTAAACCGCAACTGCAAACACCAAGCCGTCAACCATGAAGTTTCACCCTGAGCGCTTGCGCTTCCATTGGACCCCACCCCCACTAAGCAGGTTGCAAAGGCGCCATAGCGTCTGGCAACCATATCAGTTTTCAAACATTGGCTAATATAGCTGTGGATTTGGGGTCTAGGGTGGTTTCGTACCAGATTTCTCGGCAAGGACCTCGCAGCCTGGAGGCACAGAAATTCTTTCGGGGATTCAGGGATTGATTAGCCTCCGCAAGTGTTTACCAATCGGGTCGCGCACATGCCGTATCCTCGTGGAGAATGTATCCGGAGCCACCCGCGCCTCAGGAAGGATTCCGATTGAAATCCATGGAATATTATATATATATATATATATGTGTGTATGTAACCTTGCTTGCACGACTTCGAATGTCTTCGTGTGTTCTGTGCGGCGAGCGGTCACCCAGAACCTCAGCTCTAAACTTGTTTCTTCCTGTGTGTTACGGGGGCAGAGTCAGCCCACAGTTGTTGCTGTATTTTTTTCTCTCTCGCTCTCTCTCTCTCTCTCTCTCCCTCCCTCTCTCTCGCTGTTCTCTCTCTCTCTCTCTCTGTATTTCTTCCACCCTGTTCCTGCGTCTCCCTCCTTTCTCCTGCCATTGTCTCCGTCTCGATCTTTATCTCTCTGTCTCTCTCTCTCTCTCTTCATGTCTCTCGCTGTATCTCTTGTTTTCTCCTTCTTTGTCGGAAGGAAAACAGCCCTGAGCCGAAACCCCAAGTACGACGTATCCCTGAACCAGGTGCTCGTAAACCTCTTCATCGCCATTGTGACGGATTCGTACCAGCGGGTGCATCGTGACACAGTCGGAAGCCCGCACGAGGCGAAGGGGCTGGCTTCGGGTTCAGGCTGTAATGCTTCAGGGTTCGAGTTTCAGGGTTCAGTCAGGGTGCTCGTGTGAAGCACATCCAGGCCGCTCGCACCGTGCGTAGCAACCAACCCACCCACAGACCGCTCTTGCCTTAGGGTTCAGTTCTAAAGCTTTTCTTGGCATCCCAGCCTGAGCTTAAAGCCACCAGGGGCTGTTGTTTTGAATAGGGATCGTATTCCGTCCATGATACATGAGTGTCGGCAAAGCTGTTCTGGCGAGTACCGTTGTTCCGGCTTTCTATGAGGCTGTCCTGGCGGCTGGTTGTGAAAGTAGCCGCTGGTTGCTTTCGACAGGGTAGAAACAGGATATCTGCTTCCTGTGAAGCTGTCCCGGCGGCCATGAGTGGCAAGCAGACTGACAGCAGTGCATGTCAGTGCGGGTGGGTTGTAGGAACATCGGGCCTTCGGAAAGCCATGGGTCCCTTTGGGTGTAGGGCTGACGGTTTGGGTTTAAGTTTACGCCCTACCTAGTGGTTCCCCGACTTAGGAGCCACATTGTTCAAGCCGTGCTCATCCCAGCAGCCTACCATCCCCAACATATTTATCGGAATCTTCGCTTGCTCAGGTACGCTGGAACGCATTGTAAAGCCCAAAACCCTAAACCTGTTTTCTAGCTTTTAGGGCTTTTACGTAGCATGTGAGGCGAGCTTCCTCGGAGCATGCTCTGCGATCATGTTGTTGATGGGTAAGCCCAAACCCTAGACCGTGGCGTGCCAGATTATGGGCACGGTGATATACGCCGTGTCAAAATACTTCGGGATGTGCCCCATCAACCGCGATTTCCTCTACTGTCTATCTTCTCACGCTATTTCTTCCACCTCAGAGGGTGCCTCCATTTCCTCATCGCGTGCTGGTTCCTGCAAGTACAAGGTTTTTGTTTGTAGGGAGTCTTGGGGTCCGGGTTTTTTTGAAAGGTTTGGCCAATCTGCGTTTTTTGGAAGGTTTGGCTAAGCTCTTGGTTCCCCGGTTAAAGAAATTAAATCAGGATCAAGCAGTTAAATAAGGATTAAAAAATTAAAGAAGGATCAAAAAATAATTAAACAGGTATCCAAAAGGAAAGACAGGAAGAACGGTGGAAGGAAAGAGAGAGAGACAGAGAGAAAGAAAGAAAGACAGAAAGAAAGAAATAAAGAAAGAAATTGGGTTGTGCCGCGCCCCAGAAACAGTGACCACAAACACACCCACAAAAAAGCGCACAAACAAAACTCAATCATATTCACATGCAGTGTGATCATCCAGCACCTATGAGTGTAGTCTTTGCATCAGAAGATATGATCTTAGAACCATATCCAAGCATATCCCTGTTTCCTATCTTCTTGCATTAATGCCACTCAAAAGCGTCTCCTTTCCTGTGCAACTCTCTCCTCTTCCGGTAGACAGGATACCTGGTGCCGGATACTCCTTTTGAGCCAAACACCCTCCCGCATCGTCCCGCAACCAGCAGCCCAATGTAACCCATGCTAGTCCAGCCCTCAGCAACCAGGTCAAGCTCCAGATGGGGTGGAGGCTGGAGTTTAACTTCTGAAGCTAAGTCAAAAGTCTGCTTTTTTGGAGTCAAGCGTGTTGGTGTGCACTCCTGTGTGCGCACGTGCGCGCTTGTTTCTTAGCAAAAAGTAGATTGCGAAGATTTGAATGTTGGGGGGGCCGTCAGAGGCTAGACACAGATTGAGATGAGGGGACCTGTGAGGTGGCCTGCTGGGGGATCTGTGAGCTGGAGCCAGCCCCGGGAAAATTTTGCCTCGGGCAAGGGTCGGCCAGGAGGCCGGTTCTGGAAAACTAGTTTGGCCAAAATTTGCTGGTGCTATTTTTTGTGTCTGTGTTTGGGAGTTTGTGTTTTTTTTTGTGCTTTTCTTTGTGTTTTTTTGTTGTGCTTCTGTTTGGGAGTTTGTGGTTTTGTTGTGCTATTTTTGTATTTTTTGCGGGTATGTTTGTGCTTTCCTGTTTATGTTTTTTGCCATTGGTTTTCTTGTTTTTCCCTAGAAATCATGTTTGGCAGTTTGTGCAGTTTTTGTGCTTTTTGCTGTGCTTTTCGCGGTGCTTTTTTTTGCTTGCCTGTTTGCTAGTTTGTGCTTTTTTTGGTGTTCTCATGTTTTCTAGTCGCCTAGGAAAATCAAGTTTAGTCTCAGACTTGCTCTGTCTCTGTCCAACCCAGTGCAGGCCTGCCGGCAGGCTGTCCCTACTCTCCGTCCACCCTTGAGATAGTGACCCATCTGAGCCTATCTGGTTCCTAGACATTCTTGGCGTGGCGTAAAATGCAACGCCAATTACCACCCATGTCTTAGGGTGCTTTTTTGAAACCCATCTGTGTAATATCAAATCACTTACATATATATCTTAGCAGATACGGTTTATAATATGGATAGTAATACAGTTTTTGGTCTTGTAGTCTTATAGTCAAATACTCACGGGCGCAGAGTGGCATAGTGTTACAGTCATCATCGTCAGGTTTTCGTGTTCTGCAAGGTAGTTATACAGTCTACTTTATTCTACAAGAGATGTAATACAACATATTTATTCTTCTCAAAGTTGCAAATTGGTAATCGTAATAATTAGTATTAACAATAGCGGCTCTACACCTGGGCGGGATGGCAGAGTGTGTTTGCCTGGGGTTATTAGGGCTGCAGAAGGATGTGCCGGACATGTGTTTCTCTGGTCCTTGTGCGAGGCATACCTGAATCATGTTTCCTTGTGCTCTTTTTGGCCTGTGTGTTTAGTGGCAACCCCATTTTTGAACTGTTACTGGGCCGCGGCACAACCTAAGAAACAAAGAAAGAAAGAAAAACAAAAAGAAATAAAGAAAGCTATAGGGAAAGAAAGAAAACAAACAAGATAGAGAAAGAGAGGTAGAAAGAAGGAAAGAACAACAAATAAAGAAATAACGAAAGAACAAGAAATAAAGAAATAAAGAAAGCCAGAAGTACATAAAGAAATGAAGAAAGACAGAAACAGTTAAAGGAAAAAGAAAGAAAGAACAAACGATACGTAAGACAGCGAACGAAGGAAAGAAAGAAAACGAGTACAGAAATAAAAACGAAGACGCAGAGAGAAAGATAAAATCAACGAAGGACAGAAAGAAGGACACAAAGAAAGCAAGCACGAAGGACAAACACAAGAGAAAGGAAAAAACACAGGACAAGCAAAAAGGACATAACAAAGGACAGAAAGACAAAAGCCAAAGATAGAAACAACGACAGGGAGGAAGGAAGGAAGAAAGGAAGGAATGAGAGAAGAAAGGAATGAAGGAAGGAAGGAAGGAAGAGAGGAACGAAGAACAAAAGGAACAGTGAAAGATAGACAAGACATATGACAAAACACCAGAGGGAGAGAGAGAAAGAAAGACGAGGAACGAACGAAACAAAGAAAGAAAACCCAAATGGGAACAAGGGAACAAGAACAAAACTAATGTAAAAAAGGCAGAAAAACAGAAACAACCAAATAACACGCAAGGCAAGAACGAACTCAAAACAGGATGCGACAGCGAATGCCAAAACGAAAACTAGCGAAGCCCAAACCTTGAAGCCTCAAATCTACCCCGTAAACGGCCCCCAAACTCCTGGAAGCTTGGACCTTCAAAAAGAACCGTGAAGCCGGTAACCTTACGGAGCAAGTTCATATTGCAAGCGACCACATGCGCATGTGGATGTGCAAAGGGCCTGGGCAGCTCGGACTTCAGAAGTGCCTCATATCCTTAGCAGAGCGTTCGATCAGTGACGTTCTAATAGTAGTAGTTGTCGTCGTCGTACTAGTAGTAGCAGTAGCAGTAGCCGTCGCAGTAGCAGTAGTAGTAGTAGTTGTTGTTGTTGTTGTTGTTGTTGTCGTCATGTTTTTAAGTCATCCTACAAGCAGTCTGTTTGCAAATGAAGTGTTGCATCCCCCCCCCCAACCACCCCCCTTTTTTTTAAGCCGTGCAAGAACCCGTGATAAACCCCCCTGTCTTACTGCAGAAGGAAAACCAGTCCTTTAGCGAGTTGATGAGAAGCTTTGGAGTCTCTTGGTTTTTAACATTCAGCCCTAAACCTTACATCCTAAACCCTCAACCCCCACCCGAGTGGCAAAAGCCACTCTGTGGAGGACATGCTCATTAACTTCGCGAAGACGATGACATCTGTCGGAAATGCAGGTGCAACCAACATGGCTGCTTGGCCCACGTTTAGGGCTTGGGTTTTTGGGGTTCTGGTTTTGAATTTTAGATTTAAGGCTCTGCGGTCTGGGATTTTGGTTCTAGCTGTTTTGCTGCTTGGGCCATCAGAGGGGCATAGAACAGATGGCACTCATCTCTATTTCGAGGAGTTCCTCCGGTTGTCTCCACAGCACGAGTCCTAGAAGTCTGAGCAACACGTCCTGTGCACAGCGAGAGCCTTGCAAGCCTTGCCTTTGACCCCCAGGCTGCTGAAATGACTTGGCCCATATAGGACACTGGGGCTACGGGGTGTGCAAGTCCGCTGAACTTTCAGTGTGATCTTGATTGGCAGGTCCGGTTGCCCCCCCCAGGGGGGAGGCAACAAAGACTTGGTCCGCCCGAGCTAGGCCGTATGGGGCCCTAAGGTGGTTACTTTCCTTATGCTGGGGGGTGTTTAATCAGTTCGCCAGCTTAAACATAAAACTTGAAATTCTCATTCCCAAGCCCGAAATTCTCTCGTTGTGAGAGTTGGTAACATAAGGACTTGATAACTTAATATCGCTGTTCCTTAGGGTCTCTAGCATTAGTCTAATCATTTATGCACCGAAATTTCTTGAAAGGTCAGACGCCTTAGTAAGTAGGTCATCACTGGGGTGACAAATACAGCTGTCTTGAATACTGGACAGATAGAACCTTCTTACTTAGGGCCCCCTGTCCTGGAAACAATCCCTTAACCGCTAAAGATCCTGAACATCCCTAGCAGCGAGCGAAACCCAAAATAGAACCCTTGTAAAGGATCCCGATTGCAGAACCCGTAAAAGGGCCCCGCTGTGGAACCCAGGAACCCTCCTTCCATCAGGGCTCTATGACCAAAACCCTAAAGCCCTACAACCCTTGAACTCTAAAACTGCCCCTAAAACCCTCAAGCCCCTAAAGCCTTATGATACTGTTGAGTCCACTCCTTTTGCCTGGAGCTGCCGAGTGCAAGTGGTACAAAGTAAAACCTTTAAACTCTAAAACTCCTACACCCTTGACCTTAGATCCCACAGCCTAAACCCTAAACTCATAAACCCTAAAACCCCTTCGCTTCAGGTTTCAACACTCGAGAAGCTCAAAACGGCTTCAAGCTTCGAGCTCACAAGTCCCAAATCGCTGTCAAAACTCTTCAGACTCTTCGCCTGCACTTGTTTTTTGTGCTTGGGTTCTTAGGTTCAGACTCTCGCCTGCAAGTGGGTGAGGCACTTAGGGACTTTTGGGATGCAATGATCTGGAAGTGCTGCTTCCCAGCTGATTGGCAGAGTCTGGGTTCAAAAAAGGGACTTTTGGGATGACGCTTTAGGGCACAATGGAGTTTAGGGTTCGCGCTCGTCTTCGGGGCCCCTACTAACACCAAAGCCTTGAACCCTAAAACGGGCCTGACGAATCCACCATGCATGAATCAACTTGCGCCAGAAAGCTTGGGCCTTTCCCTTGGGGCGTGTCCGAAAATTTGAGGCGCACCGTTTGCAACAAGCCTGATGATAAGGAACCAATGGTTCAGGCTTCCCTGGAGTCCCTCAAATTGTGGGAACCTTCACATGATACTGATATAGCAATAATCATAAAACTCATAGCAACAAAACTACTGATACCATATAACATAAGAACATATAACATAATATAGTGAAGTGTAAGACAAAACGTAATACGACATGATGTGTAAGAATGTAACATAAAGCAATGTGATATCAGCAACTAACGCTGTAAAACATAATGTGATGTAGTGTCATAGAATGTAATATGATGTAAAAATAACATAATAGAAAGTCGCACAATAAAATAAAATATAATGTAGTGTAACATAATGTAACATAATGCAATGTAGTGGCATGCAATGTAACATGCTGTAATATAATTTGGTAAACCTTCATGTGGGCCAGAGTCGGACCCTCGTCGTCCCCATCCGGCTACTCGTAGCTTCTCTGCGGCCAAGGTGAACGTGGCTCCCTTCAATCCTCCAAGAAGTATGAGGCCCCGAAAAATTCTTCGGAGGTAACTAGAGCCTAAGCCCGAAAGCCTAAAACTTAGCTTTCAGTGTACCGTGTTCTTCCTTCGAGTTGTAGTAGAAATTTGTTATACCACACGCACACACACCGCACACACCCAAAATCCTGTTGAAATTACCAAGGCCGCCTTTAACGACTCCGTGGGACCTGTTTCGTAGCATCCTCTCTTGCTTGCTCGGCTGAGGATCCAACAGCCTACGAGCTAAAGAATCTGAAGCAGACCCTGACCTTCACCCTAACCCGGCGCTAAAGCCTCCCACACCCCAAACACATTTGTGGTTTTGGTCAGCCCACGAACCCTGAACTATGATCCAGTTCGGACCAGCTAAGATTCAGAGTTTAGTATTTTGTGGTTTAAGTTTAGGGTTTAAGACGCAATTTTGAGCTCGAGGATTTCGGATCCAGGGGGCAAGGAGCTGTTCCTGATTGGGGGCTTTGGGGGTGTCTAGACTTCAGGTTCTAATCGCGACGGGTTTCAGGGTTCCGATATTCTGGTTTAGGATTAGAAGGATACCAAGATGATTCCTTACAAGGATCTTACAAGGGTTCTGCAACGGCTTAGGGCTTCTGAACTTTTAACCCGTAAGCCAAAATCCCAAAACCTTATAAGGGTGATCCATTGTTGATGAATCTTCATTATGTGAACCTTTGAACACCCTTACAAGCCACCTCGGCAGACCGAACAGTGAACACCCCGACATTGGGTTTGGGTGGATTTCTTTAGGGCTTCTGATAGTTTTGACAGTTAGGATGAAGACTTGGGGGCTTTTGGGGACAAAGTGATGATAAGTGATGGGGGTTCATTGGTCATGATGCTCATGATGATGAGGGTTTTCCATCGGTAATGCCTTGAGTAGCTATTGGCTGAAGTCGTTCGAAGTTACGGGCACTTTGTTGTCGGCCCCACCACCCTCGCATACAGCATAAATATAACCTTAGGAAAACCGATCGCTGAAAATCGAAATCCATATGTCTTTCAACTCCTTTGCAACACAACTGAATGTAGAGGAAGCGGCGGAAGCAGCGTCTCCGGTGCCTGCTGCGGACCTCACCAGAATCGATAGCCACAGTGAGGAGTCCCACTTTAGCTTGTAAGAGTTTCATGTTTACTGCCCCGGGGTCCCGAAAAGGGATGGCAGCGGGGCACAGAAAGATTTTAATCTTTTGACTGATAATGCAAAGGCCGAGGGCTTCAACCCTGAACCCCAACAGAAGTACCCCGACTGTGAACTCATAAACCTCATCTAATCTGCAGACATGTACGAATACTTTAGAGCCTTTTGGCATGCAGTGTTCAGCGTTTCAACCGTTCTGACTATATTGCGAAAGCATGTGGCTTAAAGGAAGCCCTCTGTCGCAAGCCTTACACCCCGACACTGCGCAGAAATCGATCGTGGGCTCCAAGACCTACTGGGCAAGGCTTCGGCATGATATGCAGCAACACCAAGTTTCTGCTGGAAGTGCCCCGCGAGGCTTCATGAGCAAACCAAGGTACACTTGCTCTAAATGAATTTGGTAGCCCGTCGCATCAAGATAGACTGGCAACCATTTCTCGGGCAGTTAAGACCGTGGACCTTGGACCATAAACTCTACAATCTTAGTGTAGACATTCGATTAAGAGGCTCGGTTTATTGTTTGGCTGGGTCCTGGAGCCCCAAACCAAACAGGTTGTTGCCAACATGGTTTAACGGTGCAGGACCTGCTTCTCGATGTGCTAAATAAAAGGAGCACCCCGGCAGCGCCTTCGACACCAAGGGCGCCTTGGGAAGCGCAAGCCGCAACCAGGATCTCCGTAACCTAGGAATAAACCGGGCTCCCATTCGGTATTGTGTAGTTTTAGAAGGAACTCAAAACCACAAAAAGGGAAAACAAGGTCCCGCTGGGAGACCTAGACAAGAGCGAAAAGCAGAAGACGTGCCGTTGACTACAGAGACAAAGGCCTTTAGAGAAAGAAGCATAAACAAATCAGATCTTCAACCCTACCCGAATCCTAGCTAAAGGGATCCGCCGAGCATTACCGCCCTCAAGAAAGTGAGGTTTGTAAGACATGGGTTCAATGCTGCAGCTGGACAAATCCTGCATTGCCCATACACTCTATCCTGCAATCCCATATGCAGGATTTCAGTACTATTGCTTAGGATTACCCGTACAAGTATGCTTTCATAGACCCCAAACCCGATTCCCAGTTAGCAAGGCCCCTACATGCATTCTAAGCCCGAAGCCTGCATAGAAATCCTTAAGGACACCCCTATTCTGATTCTGGAGGCCCCTATTATACAGCATTCTCGAAGCGCCCATCGTTGAATGCCTTTTGCCGCTCCTCTGGCTAGAGCCGGATCGAGACTCCAAAGCCCGCACCTTATACCACATCTTCTAGGATCCCATTAGAATTTCCGGCTTATTCCTTGACGATAAGAGGCCGCGGAGTCTCGGAGTGAAATTTACTCGAGCCGTGCGCATCCGCAATCCCCTCAGAGAAGGGAATCTCGCGGTGCTGCGCTGAAGCTCACCCCTTGACCCCGAGGTATCGGATGTGTGCTTCTCGCCACGCGTGAGAAGGAAGCCCTCAGGACTCTAGCAGGTGGCAGACCGTGCAGGAACCAAGAAGCACCCAAACACATTTTTTTTGGATGGGGTACCCCGAACTAATGGCTTCCTTAAGGAGAGGGCTACAGGAAATTCCAGCCCTACTGTTGTTGTTTGTGTGCTTTGTTGTGCCCTAAACACTAAGCCCTCAACCCGAAGCTCATTATCCGGACAGCTATGGTTCAGAAAGGGCTCCCAAGCCTTTGATTGCTTGGTCTTGAATTGCAAGGTTTAGTTGGGTTGGAACCCCGTTCACTAGTCACTACTCTTGACCCGAGATCCTACACCCTTCACTGTCTGACTGAAGCTACGTGGACAGATGAGGTCGTTGCATCAAAGACTGAGCCGGGTTTGCTAAGAAATGTCTTGAGCCGTACTGGCCATGTTATAACCTACGCCTAAACTACTCGGAAACTCTCGGGGCGTGGACCCGAAGTGATGAATGATATCTCCTACTTCCTTTGATCCTCATGTGCACCAAGGGTGTTCGTTTCAGGGTTGCTTTATCGATGCTCGGTGCGGTCAGAGGTAAGTTATGAGATCCCCGCGTGCCAAAGCGCGAGCTCTCTCCCTGGAAATCTGGGTCCCAGTTTGGACAAATTTTGATTTCCCTTGTTGGTCTAAGACAAATCATTTAGGGGGCTGTTGACATCGACAAGTAGCAATGCGCCCCGTGAGCAGGTTGATGGCAATCGCTGCCTTCAATAATGGTCCCGGATCTTCAAAAGCGAGGAAAGTCGCTTAAACTGTATTGGGGTCCTGAAAGGAGAACGGAAGTAGTCTTCCCTGATCGAGGTACGTGGAAAGATCTAAGCCGCTCTAAACCAGCCCTTACGAACCCGAACCCCAGACAACCCTACCAAAGCCTCACCACACTTTGGGAAAGATCTCGTTTCGCTTGCGCGCCTAAGCCCGACAGCCCGCTACAAGTTTGAGCTACATACAATTCCAAGTGAAGTGATATCGGGTTCTTTGGCTTCTACTGAACCATCAACCCTAAATCACAAGCACGGAGCTTTTCTGACATAGAAGTTCAGGAGGAGCAATGCCATGCCTTAGGATTCCCCAAACTCCAGGGAGCTTGCTAGAATCTGCAACCGAGCAAAGCTCTGGGTGCAGAACAGACCCTGACTACGGTGCACAGCTCTTGGTGCCAAAGAAAGGGATTGAGCAGGGGTTCATACGGTTTTGTAGGGCTTGTATAGAGCATACTTCCGTTTATCATGAGTTTGTAGCCGGTTTCTGCGGTGTTAAAGTGAGGGTTGACAGTTTATGCAGTCTGTGAGGATCGGAATTCGGCATTTATACTATCACGATTTCTATATCCTTATACATATCTCATTCTAGTCACGCCTTGCCGGTTTAGGGTTTAGGGTTTTGGGTAATGTTCCGCGCACACCACCACGCGGGACGTGTTGTGTGGTGTGCGCCGGAACATTGGCAAACCTTAAACCCTAAACCCGGTTGTCCTTCTGCAAGACTTCCGCTTCTCTCCCTTGCGTTTCTTTGCGATTCTTGAGGCAGTCGTCTGGTGCTTGTTTTCCATCATGTAAATTTAGCTCTCGTTAGCGAGACACACTTTCTGACTCTGGCCGTTCTGATTCCCGACTTTTGCTCGATTCATGGTTCCTGACTGACGCCACTTTTGCTGTGAGTCCTCCCTCATAGACAAGTTGAACAAGTCATGACCAGACAGGCATGTTGTTGCAGTGCGGGTTGGTAAACATCTCGTCAGATGACTAGTTCAGGCAGGCCTGCACCCAGTACTCCCATGCCACGGCTGCAGCAGGTGGCAGGAGAATAAATGTCACAAACGGAACTGTCAGGCCTTGTTTCTATGCCTCGCTGGACTACATCCAGACCATGTGCGCAGTGTCCTAATGATTCTCCGGGCTCGTAGGTCAGCAGGTCATGTCAGTGGCCTGATGCAGTCAGGCTTCTGCAGTTCCAGTGGTCAGAACCGTCGCGCAGATTGCTCTTGATTATGAAAATCTTTCCTGCGGACTTGGTGTGGTTTTAGGGCAACTTGTCGCAGAACATGATGTTGTGTCGAATGCACTTGGCTACATGAGTCAGCTAGTGCGCCTGTGCTCGTCCAGTCAATTGCGTCTCGAGTCGCCGACAAATTACGGAATGGTGGCACCGACACTGAAGCTGCACACGAACAGGTACCTCACAGAAATTCCCTCAGCGCAGTGTGTCTCCCTTCAGCGGGATGTCTTCGGCCGCCACGGCTTCGAGCGTCTTGACAAGGCCTGTCAGATACTTGCTGTTGAAAACCTGTGCATGGCCTTTGTCTTGCTGTGCTCATAACGACTGCCAAATTGCGATCGTGATCTGACAGTCCATCAAAATATTCAGATTCAAGCATGACCATTCGACACTGGAGCGGCCAGTTGGGCAAAGCGGTTTGTGAGTGAATGCAGGACGGTCGTTTCAACGCAGCTTGGAAGTCTCTTCAGCAGGGCGAGGCATGGCCATCACAGAGGGGACACTTCTGGGCGCCGCAAGGTCTTAGCAGAGGGCAAATGACCGATGGGCCTATGTTGTCTTGTGAAAGCTGGAGGTAAGCCTGAGGCAAGTTGTTTGCAGCCTGGGTACTGTCCGAGAGACTGACGAAGGCAGCCATCACGAGCGCAACTTCTGTGCCGCGCTTAGCGCTAGCATGATGTGAATTGTCACCGCCTGCGGCATGGGCAGCCAAGTAAGCTGGAGTGATCTGAAGTGGCTGTTGCAGAAACTGTTGGCGCCGGCCTCGAAACCCAGGTCCTTTTTCAACTTGTGTCCTTTTTTTAATCTTTTGGACCCTGAAAGCAACACTTTGTGGGCTGTTACCGAAAGGCGAAGAGTATCTTCTCCAACAAGAAGTCCTCTTTGTCTTAGTGCAGGGCCAAAGAAGTATCTCATCCAATGATAAAATCTCTTACCGGAAACCGCTCACACACTTCAATAAAGAAGGACACAAGCAGCCAACACTGAAGCTGCAAGGACTCCAGGTGGAAAGGCTCCGCCACATCATTGTGACGACTTGAACTTGGAATCATGATTGGAATCTAATTTAATACCCGAGCTGAGCCACGAACATCAAAAGTTCTGCTAACGGCTGCATGTGGCTGCTAAGTCTTGGCACATCGAGTCAATCCTGTGACAGAGGTGTGAGCAGCTACGTCGGCAAGCCCGTGTTGGACTCATCGAATGAGGGCTTTGTGGTATTATTGTATCGTATCCGTTGTTTTAAAATTTAGGTTCCAGTGTCGGGAAGGAATTATTGGTTGAATAGCGATGCTGTTGATGGTTTGTTTCTGCCTGGCTTGTTGGTGAAGTTGGTATGTTGGGCTGTGCGGGGGGCGAGGTGATCGGGAAGTTTGTGTCGGGTGGTCTTCCGTGCACTGGTGTTGTTGGCAAAGA